AAGGGCCTAATAGGAACAACTCTATGTTTAAGTGTCCAAATGACAAAAAAAGCCAAGTTTAAGGGTCCAGTTATATATTCTGCCTATTTAATAATAAGAAATGGCAAGATGAGAGAAAAAAATAAGGTAACAACGCAACCACACCAAATCAGTCGTTCCATAAAGTGATACTTATTGTCGTTACGTAACGACGTATTTAACAATACGATACAATAAAGTTTAAGTATAAATCAAAACAAACATTGTATTTTAAGTAACAATACGATACAATACAACAAGTAACAACCATCCAAACAAGGTCTTATAAATATCTTAATTTCTTTTTACTTTTTATGTGAAACTTTGTTCACACACCCAGCACATATAAAGTCATTTCTATTCAACGAGACAGAAAATCAAATTGGTTCTTTGTCTCAGTTCTAATTTCCCCAATTTTTACAAACTTCGTCATATGACTCATAAAATTAATATCATAATAAGTCGCACCACTTTAAATATTACATTATAATCATTATAAGTAGGAATAAAAGTACTTGCTCCACTCATTATCAAGAAAAAAAAATCAGAAATAACTTAATTTACTACTGATAATTGAAAAATAATCACAATTTTAAAAGTAATTGATATTTGGCTACTTTTTCATATAAAGATAAAATATGAACAAAAACAACCTTAAAAATCCCTAGAAATTCTAGTATAATATGCTGGAGTTCAATTTTTTATATATATATAAGATTCCAGCATAATATTTCATAATGCGTTGGAGTTTCAATACAATATGTTGCAAATTTATACGCAGGAGCTCTATAACCCAGAAACTTTTCGTATTTCAGCTAAACTAGTGATGATTTTAATGCCTTTACAAATACTAACTATGTTTTAATTACAAGTGCAAAAACTGATTAACCCATGCTATTTTCACCTCATTATCGCTGCCTTGCCAACTTCAAAAATGAAAACATATCTTATTACTTGTTTGTTCCCTCATTCCACATAATAACTTATGTAACTAACAAAATAGACACATATTAAATAATTAATCATTTGATCAATTTTAAAACTCTATGCGAATAAACATATTAATGTATAAACAAGTAAAAATGAATATATATATATATATAGTGCTCAAAATCGTTTTATGTAATTTGTTTGTTTGATACCAAGAAATTAAATTTTGTCAAATTTTTGATATTTACAACAAAACAAGTCAATCCAAGCACATCATCTATTTTTAAATAGGTTTAATTTGGTCCAGCTTTTCCCTTTTTTTTTTCCCTTTAACACCTCTAACAGCTAGAAAAAAAGAAGAAGAAAAACAAGGGCCGAAAAAAGAAAAAAGAAAAAAGAAAAAAGGAAAAAGGAGACGAAAAACCAGGAGAATAGAGAGAAGAGAAAGATAAAAAAGCTGGAAAATTCAAGCTCATATTGGTTCCAAAGGCGACGAGGACAACTGATACGGATCGAGAAATCCAAAATAGGTAAAGCAGAAAAGAGCAATTCGAACCATAAAAACAGCAGCGACGAAAATGGAAGAATCAACGGCTAAAGTAGAGAGATCAATAGCCGCGCCGATGATATTCCTTATTGTCGTAGCTTTGCAATTCCTTTCCCGCTATTTCGAAATCAATAAAAAGGTTATTCTTCTCTTCATTTTTCATGTTCTTTATATCACAATTTTCCTTTTAAATTTTATATTAAACAATTTTCGGTTTAAGTTAATTTCACAATGACTCGATAATGAATATCAGTTTTTTTTTTAAATCCTAATTTTGATTTGGTGAAGTAGTAGCTTTTAAGTTTTTACTTTTGAGAGATATTAAACATCTGTCGATATGTTAATGATTGATTTGTTCAGTGGGGAGGTTTGAGTCATTTCGGTTTTGTTTGTTCTATAACTATCATAGATATCTTAATATTTGTGAAATAATTGCTTGTTTTGCAATTGATGTTTGTGATATGAACTGTTAAACTTTTTTCAGAAAGGTTCCGCAAGTTCCGAGGATATACAGTTGCGAGCAGAAATTAAGCAGCTGCTAAAGGAGGCAAGTGCCTTGTCACAGTAAGTGATGTCTTGTTTAGTAATCAGACTTCACATCTAGTCTTTTTTTTTTCCCTTTTTAATAACAAAAGTGTCCGTCCATCTTGGGCGCATGGCGTACCTACTAATCCACCGGGTACCTGCTACTCCCACCAGCATAGGTACCTAAATCAAGGCTTCCACAAATGAGAATATATCACCTAGAGATTTTTTATCTTTGCTGGTATTGCCAGAATTTGAACCATGATCTCCATGGTCGAATCCAACATCACTCACTGCAGGGCTACACCTTTGGGGCATATGTAGTTTTAGTCATTTAAATTACTAGTATCTTTTGCTCTGTACATCAAAGCTTATCCTAAGCAAGATTTCATTTTGATTCTTCTTTGCTGTGAATTTTCAAAGATTTTCTTTTATGTTGAGTTACTGTAGTTATACTTGATTGATAAGTGGGTTGATAGTCAATAATATATAATGAAACTAGAAAGTGGAGTTTCCAGAGGAAACATGATAGTTTTTTCTTTTCATATGGTAAATAAAACTGATCATGTCATTAGGGAAGTTCTATGGTATGGAAAAATTGATTGTGCCTTCGCATGTATTTCAGGCCGTCAACATTTGCACAAGCTGCAAAACTGAGGAGGTTAGCTACAGCCAAGGAGAAGGAACTTGCTAAAAGTATGGCTTACATCTGTCTTCTTTAGAATAAAAACTAGTACTTTACTAGTAATCCATACCTAGAATGACAAACACTACATGGCTGTGCTGCCGTGGCTTGATATAGTAGCTTTTAGAAGGAATATTGGAATAGAACATTGCTGATAGAACTTACTGGTTACTGCCAGGGACAAATTTCTTCACCCACTTAATGAAGTGATTCATCTTCCATGAATTTTATGCCCAAATTTAGCAGATTGTGCCCAGATTTATGCTGCCTCTTGTAGACAAAAGAACAGTCATCATATCCCACCAAGTTACATTTGTGATGGGAAAGATTACTTTAAAAGAATTGGTGATCCTCATTATCAATAGCATTACAAAGCAAAGAACGAGCATTCTGCAATGAGTTCCCAATGAATGTAAATCCTGTCCATTGTACTCAGCCTACCATGGCTATGAAACCACGAGACAAAAGAATACTTGGAAATAGCTGATTTTTTCAATTTTTTTATAGTAATTTGAATAGTGAAAAGCCTAGATTGAGTTGAATGCAAGAGCATTTCAAATGTAGAGGAACAAGGTGCAGCATACTAACTCTTTCAGCTCAACATGAAATTTATCAATAAATTTAGACATTTATCATTCTCTGATGCAGATCAAGCAATTCGCAGCAAAGAGACGAAATTGTCATATGATACATACACAAAAGGCCTAACTATTTTGCAGGTATGCATGGGGTTAGTTAAGTGGTTTACAAGCTTCATTTAAGTTGTAATATTCTTATTCACCCGCTAATCACACAGGTCTTGACATACTTGTTGCTGGTTATCTGGTTTTGGCGTATTCCTGTGGCTTCCATATCTAAGCAGCTCGTACAGCCTTTTGGTAATGATGTTAATTCCTAGATTTTTGAGCTGTAGTCATATCTGCATGACATTTCGTGAATGTGATGTATGCTTATAATGTACACATTTTCCAATTTGCTTTGCTGTGTCTTTCATTGCGGTTTATGGACTAATGTACATTTGATTGCTTTCGCCGGCTTTTAGGATATCCTTGTTTATATTTCAACCGAGCAATCTACCAGTTGCGTACTGATCTGCTGTTCTTCCACTTTTACAGGTAAGATGTTGTCTTGGCGAGCTGGAGGTCCTGTCAATGAAAATGTTATGGTAATGATTAGTCGCGAATATTTCTTTAATGTCGATTTGTTTCTTTTTGGGGAGATAATGACTGAACGAAGCAGACATGTGAGAGTAGGTCTTACGGTTTGAGCCTCTGCTTGAACCTCACGACTTACCTATTTATTAACTTAATAGAAAAAAGAGTAAATACTGGGTATGTTGTTGTTGATGTTGTTGTAATAGAAAAAAGAGTATAATAGAAGGGTTTAAAAGATTTATTCACTAGGTATTGTTATATTTTCCTGGGGCTTTCAGAGAAGCACCTAAGAATTTAGGAAACTATTTCCCTGCAGTTTTCGTCATTCCTCACTTCCCACGGAAAGCTAACATTTGTCAACATTCTTCAAGTATATTGTTGTGATCGTATAGTGTCCAATCCATCCAACCCATACATATGATTAATAGGATCTACAGTCCTTTTCTTTTCCTATTTTATCCTGAGTTTTGAAGAGAATTACCTTGTTGGATCTTATTGTACCTTTGGTTCTTTATATTGGGCCAAGTCTAATGTGCGTAAAAGGCAGCACTTGTAACATATCACCAAAAAAAAAAAACCCAAAGCTGCTTGTGTTTTGGCTGAATGACATTTTGAACTGTTGTTTCTTGCAATTGCAGGTGGGGATTATTCCATGGTTGATATTGTCTACGAGAGTCAGCAAATCTATCTGCCGAAGAATATTCAACTAGGAGGAGAAAGTATAAGTGATATTAGTGTGCACTGACCCTTTTTTCCCTTTCTTTTTGATATCTATTTCATTGTATTGTCAATTCATTAGGATTTGTACATTGAATGTGCTACACTTCTGTAAGGAGTACCCTTTTTCTTTTTCTGGAAAGTAGGAACAGATGCGATAAGTTAGAAGTCATGTTAGAAAGGAGTGCTTCTATATGGCTTCTTTTGGTTTTGAAAAGCAAATGCAGTTTTCGGTTGTTGGATTTTTAGGGATAAGTTTGTAATATTTATGTTTGTCAAGTGGATCCGCTTTTTGAGTTGAAATATAATTATATTGTGTGCATTTGGTATACAAAAGAGGATTTTTGTAGTGACAGTGCTAGACATAATTTGCACAATCACGTCAGCCTTGTTGTTGATGCTGCTTAGGGTTGAGCTAAGTTGGCTTGGTTCAGCTACAACATTCTCAAATTGGTTGTAAACTTCGTCCTTTCCTGCAAAAAGAAGTACTATCCACAGTCAGGATTTAGTGTGTATATGATATTTGCTTCATTGTGTGGTTAATGCAATGTACATATTGCCACTGACTGCTTTTGTTTGTCGCAAACCGGCAATGCTTGTAACAGTGTTATAAATAGCGCTCGCCTCAGCGCTAATAGCGTGAGGCGATGCGATGCGAGCAGCCTGCGCTATTTTGGCTCTGTTGCGTTGCGATTGTAAAAGGTGAGCGCCTCTGCTTGTGTAGCGAGAGGCGAGCTGTGGCGTCTGCTTTTTGAAAAAAAGAAAGAAAAAGGCGCAGATTAGGGCTTAAAACATTAGGGCTTGCAGTAATTTCACGTTTCTTTCTTCTTCAACCTTCAAACAACAGAGCACCCAAGTCCACCCAGCCCAGGTAAGCTTCTTTTCTTCTTTCTCCTCTCTTTCTTTCTTCCTTTTCTTTCTTCTTCTCTTCTTCTTTCTATTTTTTTGTTTTGTTTTTGTCGAGCAACAGTGCAGAACAAAGAGTCTGTCTGTTGCTCTGGTTTTTTTTCGTTTTTCTTTTCTTCTGATCTTCTCTTCTTCTTTCTATTTTTTTTGCTCTGTTTTTTGTCGAGCAACAGTGCAGCAAAAAAAGGACAGAGAGTCTGTTTGTGCTCTGTTTTTTTTTTTCGTTCTTCTTCTCTTCTTCTTTTTTTGTTGCTCTGTTTTTTATTGAGCAGCAGTACTGCACCCTGTTTTTGCAGAGGCAGAGGCAGAGAACTTCTTCGAAACTTCAAACCTAAAATTTCCTCCTTTTTCAGTTATAGAGTAGAATTAATTGCATATTGTGAATTGATATATTTATTAATATATTATTGTTATTGAGTTTTTAGTTATATATATAATATTTTATTTTTTTGTATAAATTATCGCTTCACATAAAGAATGCAAGCGCTTCGCTGCGCGCCTCTCGCCTTAGTGAAGCGGGCTCTCGTCGCTATTTGTCGCCGCACGCTATCCAAAACACTGGCTTGTAAGATAGATGCATAACCCACTTTTTGTTTTTAAGTGATTTAAATATTTGAAACTTTTTAGCTTATCAATATTTTTCTCTAGCTCTCTTCCCTGAGCAGGTCACAGCACCATGTCCTTCACTTGAGTAGCAATGTAGCTGTTTGCCCCTCTGGAGTGTGAGTTCACCTGCCTAATGTCTACTTAGTCACCACTATTCTAGTGCTGTAGGGTCTGCTGTCACATCCGTGTTAACATATCACTATTCGTAATTCATTAGCTTTTTAGGATGCACTCTTTAGTCTGCCTTTCACTTTTAGAATGTTATTGCCCATGTTAACTACCTTCTCTTTTCTTCCATTTACTCTAAAATTTCACTAATAAACACCAAGTTGGTATCAAGAAGTATGTGCAAGTTGTGTATATGACTCAACCTTAGTCATTTACAGGCACTTATCAAGTTTGTTCAGCTACATATACTAACGTTCCCCGTCAAGCTTCTGAAACCATGTTGACTACTCAAAGAATGTGTTTCAGTAACTTGATTCTCAATCTCTCTAATTTAGAAGTAATTGATACAATTAAGTTGACTAAAATTGGAGTTACAAATTCTAGGTTAACTCCTCAAGTATCTTACCCTATCCCAATTTGTTCGTTGCTCTCTCTTTCAGGTTTTTGACTTATCTCTCAGCCATATGTGAGGATGATGTTCAGGGGAAGAAGCTAATACATGCAGCCATCAATCCGCTGTTTTGCGTTCCGGTTTCTGGAAGTTCTGAAAATGATAATTCTGTGGAGAACTATAGTGAAACTAGAGATGCAAAACCTGCTTTACTTTGGAGTGTCTTGTATACTCAAGAGCTTACTAAGGTATCTGGAATACCCTCTTTTACCTTTTTTGTTTTTGGTTTGCTCTACACAGCTACCAGCTTCCATTTTGTTTCAATATGAATTTTCTTCAGTTCTTGTTTCATTTCGCTAAAGGAAATGTGCTATTCGTTTTGATAATGCTTTTTGTTTGTAAAAATACTGAAATGGCTATCAAGCGCCTTTCGCATTTTAGGCCTTTGCTGTCAGTCAATTTTGTTTCCTTCAGGGTTATGGATTATTTCGGCCTGGAATCTTCTGCACATTTAGATAGAGGTTATCAACTTATCATATAGAATATCTAACATGTTCACTAGTGTAAACATAAAAAAAGCATGTTCATTAGTGTCGCTGAGCATAGTACATTAGTTGGTTGGCGGATTGGAATTAACTACTCTTGAAGTTTATCATCTGTGTTTTGTTTAGAGTTGAAAGTCAGACTAGAGCAGTTGGATTGCTTATCGCCCAATTTAGTCATTATTTTATCCCGGAGGAAGGGTGTGGTATCAATATTCATGGAGTAGATTCTATGGGATTAAGTGTGAGTATTCCTTTTCAAGAAGTGTGAGAATTACCCTTTAGATCCCCACTTATAATAGGGCTAAGGATAGCTTTTGCTTCATTTCTCTTCCTCCTTGCCCTTCATCTCCCTCCAACACTGAGCCTTTCCAGTTACATCTTGCTACCTCCGGCGACTCCTCTTCCCTGCAGATTGCTTTACCTGTTGTCGGTCGATCCACCCCCCAAGAGAGAAAAGACCATGTAGCTGAGATTATGATTTTCTGCCTCCCATCCCCTCCTCTTGTTCCCTCCCTTCAGCTGATTGCTCTGTCTCTTTCCTTTCATTGGTCTTCCTTGTATTTCTTTCTCCTGCCCTTGCAATTTAATGTCTCTTTCCTTTCATTGGTCTTCCTTGTATTTCTTTCTCCTGCCCTTGCAATTTAATGTTCTCCACCCCTTTATTTTTTTTCCCTATGATTTTTTCCCTTTGTTATTCTTCTCTTCTCCTTTTCCCCGAAAACATTCTACTTTTATGTCCTGAAATACTTACGTTTTGCTAACTATGCAACAATCTTCTTCTCTCTCTATTTTCTTCCCAACAATTATTACATTCTATTAACCAGGTTGCGATTCTTCTTCTGTAAATTATAGTTCATGGTTGAAAATTATGGATAATTAGTGTTAGATTGATGGACATTGGATGGAGATGAATTTGTGATGGAAAAATCAAATATTGTAGTGTAGTTAATTAATCTAGTTTCTTATATATTATACAATCCCTTGTTTTGCATGAAGATTATACTTGGACTGATATTTCAATTTTCGTGTAAAACACAAGATTGGGTGGATTGCTGTTAAGGTACCACATGGGATTAAGCAAACTGTACCAAACGGCAAGCACAGAATATCGGGTTGTGATACACATTACGATCCCCAAATAATTAATCAGTTATCCATGAGCTAATTATCTCAGTTCATGCGACATGCTACCAAATGATCCCCGAGTTTGTGATCTATGCCTGGCGTGTTGTCCTGACTTTTCCAAATTCCGTCCATCAGTTTTAGGATGTACTAGATAAATCATTTGTACCCCCATGGCAGATGGGAGTCCATACTCCCATGATCTTCTGGTTGCTACAGAAAAGGTAACATCCATTCTGCTTTTCTTAAATGGACCTCTTTTACATTAGTCCCTATCTTCTTTTCTCCCTGATAGCTGCCACCTTTTTTCTTCTTTCATCTTGTGCTTTACCTTCTTTGTCATGGCCTGTTTGCGTGCATATCAAAGGGCTTATAGTGATGTAGGAGAAGGCTAGATCCTCAGACATTGACCCATTTGGTGTTCTTGTGCTATTTTTGTGTAGATATTTCAAGAGCTGTACTTTGAGTCGAGGGTCTTGGAAAACAACCTTTCTAGCCCTCACTCTGCGTATACATTACCCTCCTCAGACTCTAGTTGTGGTGTTATACTGGAGGACTAGAGACCAAATTGATGCTGCTGGATATGTTGTCATTTTAGCTGACAGTTGGCAGAATAATACAGTGGGATTACACTGATTTTTTTTTTTTTGTTATTGTTGTTGTTGTTGTTGCATGGACAATGACCGACGAGAATATAGTTGAGGTGGTTTCTGTCCCTATATTCCAATGTTGAAGTGTTTACTTGAAATGCTTCGTTGTTGTAAGAGTAATAGCTATAGCTAGTCTTTCTAGTTTCTTCCGCCTACAAATGAACAAGAAGTAGCGTAGAGGGTTGGCACGAGACTTGGGAGTGTTAAAGAGTTTGTCTACTTTTACAATTATTTTTTGCGGTGGTTGATTCGAGACTTTCCATGACTTGAACCTAGTTTCTATCTTAGCTTCCAAAGTTAAGAAATTGTAAGCTGCAGTGGCGAAGTCAGGAAATTCAATAAGGGTTCAAATTTTGAACACCCTTTGACAGTGGGTTATGCAAGGGTGTTCAACGTCTATTTTTAACCAATAACAAGTAAATATTTTACCTTAATACGTAGTGTAAACTTTCGGTAAGCTGCACGTAAACTTAGAGAGGCAGTTAGTTCTTCCTCTATAAACTTGAGGGGTTTAGCTGTAAATTGCAGTGAGTTCTTTTTACTTTTGCAATTATTTTTTGCGATGTTTGATTCGAGACTTTCCATGACTTAGAAGCTAGTGTGTGTGTATAAAAAATGTACAGACACACTTCCATCTAGTTGGGTAAATAAAAAGATCGAGTTAGAGTGGAAGAATCCCAAACGTCCCTGACGTCGCACTTCCAATCGGTTATACGAGTACATTTTAAAGGTACTATCCGTTACTAGTAGTCAGTAGGCGCTGCAGTATAAGTGAAAAAATGTAGTGAAGGCCTGTGAAGCCTATGAGACTCTTTCACCTGTCGCCACGTGTCCAACATGCAACCAAAAGCTTATGTTATTTTCACAAGGCACGTTTGGTCCTCTCGATACTCTTATCACAACTGTTTGCTTCTAAGAAATACAGTACTTCTTCTTCCACTGGCGGCGTTTCAGATGTTTTGTCAATTTTACTTTTGTGTACTTCGATGGAACGCGTGATGTGTTTTGCATGAGCATTGGTGCCCTCCCCCTTAAACTTTTCAAATGCTTTGGAACAAAACCAAGATTGGGAGTCCCTACTCTTTCACCATGCTTCCCTTTTTCATTGTTGGAAAATAAAATGAAAGTCACTATAAACATTGATTTCTTTTTCTAATTGTAGCTCAAGCTTAAAAATGTTTGTGTAGTAAATTTCGTTCGACTCTCTTGATCTTTTGAGTTTAGTAGTAATATCTCCTTCACCTTTTAAATAATGATAAAGTGAACCTCTAGGATCTTAAAGTAACTGCTAAAAATGAATTGATTATTACATGTATTTTCAAAACATAAAGAACGAGATTCTTTGGAATGGTTCAAGCCCTTTCTTTTTTCTTTCCCTATTATGGTGTTTGCTTAAAAAAATCTTACGAAAGTGTTTCATCCAATTTTATTTGAACATTTTGCAAAAAACTGTTTTTCAACTAAGCGCCAGAAAGGGAAGTTATTCAATTGAAAAAACAGAAAAACTCTTTCTTTTGGTGTTTGGTTTTTTTTATAATAATTTGAAAAAAGTTTCTGAAACAAAATTTAGTGTACAACTTATGACAAAGCTGTATTACGGAAATCAAGTCCCAAAAGAAGATTTGGAGAGTGTTTAGTCAACACTCAACAAAAAAGGAAAAGGTCAATAACTATAGTGATAGAATGAAACAGAAGAAATAGGAAAAGAACAATAAATACACACCCTTCTGCTTCTCTCTCTCTCTCTCTCTCCTCCCCGGGAAATGACAACTGAGCCTCATGCAATGGGAATGCGCCTCTCTTCATTCAACCTTTTTGCTTCCCAATTACTCATTTTCTTTCCTCTGTCAAAACTCTCTCTTTTCACTTTCAGTTTCTGTTCTTTCTCTCATGGCTTCTTCACAGAACCGTACCCTCACAGCTCTTGTCATTTTCCAGAACTTCTTGTATCCTGGTATATATCCTAATCTCTCTCTGTTTTCTCATGTTTTTTTACGTTATAAACCCAAAATCTTGATATGGGTCGGTGTTAAAACAAAGTCTTGGATTCATGTTTTTGTTTTCGTTCAAATGCATAGATTTTTCTTAGCTAATATACTCTGTTCTTTTAACAGTGATGTTTAGGTCGGTGCATGTATACCGGACAGAAGGAGGAAAAGAAGAAATGGAAGAGAGGGAATATTTGTTTCATGAAACTAGTAACTTTGAGGAAACTGGGTTTGCTCCAGTTATCACATTGCACAAATTTGACGTCTCTGCTCAGTTTGTAGGGATTGAAAATGGTGTATGGAAATGCATGTTTGTGTATGACTCCGGCCGCCATCAATCCACCAGTACTAATGCTAGTCCTGAGTGGCTTTCGTTTGCTGAGTACGTTTTCATTTTCTGACTATAAATTTTCTTGCTTTATCATCTTTAGTACAATAGGAAACTGGTATTCTTATGCCCCGATTTATGTAATGGTGTTTCAATAGATGCAGAGTTTGATATGATTATTTGACTTATACGTTATATTAATGATAAAGCAGGAAATGTTAAACTAGTTGTTAGAAAGTTCGTTTTACAGAGAATGTGAATCAGCACCTTTCGCCTGTTTAGTCCAAACTTAATGTTGTAAATGACACAACTCACTTGATAGACTGCAATAGTTCCCTGAGTTAAAGGGAACAACTGAATTTTGTTGTAAATAGCTTTTATATTGTGCATCTCCCTGGTGCTATTGTTAATGAAAGATTTTACCTTTTTATGAAAAAAGTTTGTTTGACATTGGAAATGTCACATCAAAATTTAAGCATTGAATGTTCTTTTGATGAATTTGATTTTTTGAAAGTCGTTAGGGTGAATAGAAATGGGATGTCAAATATTTTGGTATGACCCGAGCAGGAAAGGTGGCATACAAATTGGGAGGGAGAAAATATTTTTCTAGTTCTCTCGAATCTTTCGTGATGATTTCATGACTGTGTAAAGTTTGCAGGTTTGCATGACTGGAGGTCATTGTTTATGTCATAGCAGGCTGTGCCTGTTGTGTTCAAATTAGTACTGATACAGTAATTTGGTTTTTGATTAATTAAAAAGTGATGCCATAATGTTCTCTTTTTTCTTAATTCCCCTTAAAAAAACTATCCTTTTCTTATTTGAACCCTTGAAAATGCCTTATATCTTTAGTTCTCTGGTAATCCACGACTCGTCATTCTTGGTTACTATCTGTCGTTCATCCTTTACTAAAGCCAGACCAGCTAAAAAGCGGCAGTAGATTCTGAAAAATGACTTACTTTGGCTATGCTCCGAGCATTTATAAGATGAATTTACTTGCCTGTAGAGGTTCTGATGCAATTATATAGCCGTTTCTGGCTTCATGGTATGCTCCCTCGGCCAAACATGCAACAAAGGACCTGTGCAAGGCAAATAAATTCTTTTTGTTGCATCTTATATATTGGTTCAATAATAAGTTGTGAGGTTTTTCGTGTGACTAGAAATACTTTTGATTGAACATAGGTGAATTTCATTTAGGCTCATAATACTCTTGCCTTGAAGTTTCAGGCTAGTCCTAATTGTTGATCCCTCCAAGGCTCCAACTGGAGCTGCAATTATAATTCACTGGGGATGCTATTATTTCTGTAGTTAATTTTTATATTTTGTGGGTTATTGTTACTGTTTGTGCTGTTTCCTATTTCATCTCAGAAATTGGAGATTATTTACTTGTCGTTCCATTGATGTAATTGTTTTTGTTTCAGCATTAAAAATTGTGTTTCCTGTCACTACCTGCATTTATGTGACTTGGTGATGTCCCTCTTTAACTCATTCTCTATTTTCTTACTTAATTATTTTACTTTATGTATCCAGAAACCCTAAGATGGATTTTATTCCAACATTAGCCAATGATCTGCGTGCTATATCTGAGTTAGCACTAAATGTCGAATTCAGGGATTCGTCGGGAAGGTCAAGCACCGAGGAAAGTGGAGGTAACAATATTAAAAGCAATCAGCCAGACGTGAAACGCCGCGTGCCCTTTCTGGATCTTAACTCTCTCCCTTATTCAGACTCGGACATTGAAGAAAATGACCAAAATGCGTCAGGTTAAATTCCAACTTTGTTTATATACAGGAAGGTCTTTCAATTTCTGTATCAAACAATTGGATATTGAACATGAAGTTCATATTAATAGCATACAGAAGTAAGCTGTATCTTTTCTTCATTGTTCATGCTGGATGCTAAGACATTCACTAATAACTAGATGAGATCATATTGAAATTCATGCTGGTTTATTTACAGTTAATCTGAATGGTGGTTTAGTGGAACTTATTCTACTATGAATGTGATCTTTCAAGCTAGGATTGTTTATGGCCTCAAAAGAAGCTATAAAAATATGTATTGCTGATTAAAATGGCGGATACTAGGAATAGTTTGTCGTATTTTGTGATGGATTTATACATACAAGGAATCATTCTAAGCCTTTTATTTCTAACACATGGTGCTTCTTGGAAACATATCATTGGTACAAGTTCCGACATCTCATGAATTTAGCTAGACATTTGATGTGCAAAGTTTCTCGTGGTGAGTCATACATTTTCAATTCCTTTACCAGTAGTTCTCAAGCATTCACTAGGTCCGCGGAGAGAATCGTTTCATGCTCTGTATGATCCCAATCACTCAAGGCTATCTTACAATAGCGGCATGGTTTTGGCCTCAGCTTAATGCAGTCTTCATTATTAGTGTGTTTACTAACCAAGCTCTATAAAAGGGATGCATTTAAATTAATGAAACATAACAATCTCCATCGGGGACTCGGGGTATATTCCCCCTAAAAAATCAAGTGATCTGTTTTGAAAGTAACAAACTAAACCAATTTTGAACAACACATATGTTGCATGGGAAGATGGAACTTTCAAGCAAAGAACTCATTATTTGTGCGGATGTGTTTTACCATAGTAGATATAGTTCTCATTACATAGTGGATCAGAGGAACTTTAAAATGACGGTTAATACAATGGCAACTCTGCGAAATGACCTGACCAGATATTTTCATGTGAATTTCTAGGTTTCCTATTAACGAATCACTCTTTATGTTAGGTTACTTGTATATTGATCTTACATGTATATGTCCATCGTCACTCTGTTGTGTATACTTGTATCTTTTGGTTTCCAAAAGGAGATATGTCTATAAATATTTTGGATCTTACGGGTTTAGGACTTTTTGATGACACTGGCTGTATGTCCTATCCTAACCACCGGTAAAAGTCTGTATTTAAAATCAAAAGCATTAACTGTTAGAAGTTCGTTTGTTTTATTGCCAGCTTTTGGAATTGGATATCGCAATATCATTGTTATGGCGATGTATAGCGTCCTTATTAATTGGCAATCCAAATATTCTAAATGGACGTGGCAAAAACAATATCGTAACCTCTAGCGATATGATCATACATATTTCACCTTTGATGAGAAGGACTTTGAGGCCAAGTAAGAGTTCATATATCACGCTGGACGGGAGATTTACATGATTTGCCGAAGTACTGTGTCTTCTGTGTTCTCCATCAGGCTGTTCTGTATCATCATTCTCTTTAAGATAGAATGTAGTTATAATATACTAAATAAAGCTATAGATTCAAAGAGCATTCTCTGGATTTTGGCTTTACTATGGACAAGGAACTTGCAAACGCGGATTTCGTAAGTACTTGATGGGTGGTTCTCATTTGTCACATAGCTCTTCTATCAGAGCATTTATTCCTTTTCCTTTGGAAGTCATAACTCCAGCGCTACTTGCAAACACCTATGAGTTTATGTTATATTTGCTATGCTTTGTGCATTTTCTTTCCTTCTTGATTTTGAATTATGTGTTCTGGATCATGGTTTTAATGCCTATCAGTATGATGCAAATTTCTCACTTTGATAAAAAATGGCAATTAATTGATCCATAGACTTCAGTTGCATGCATGGATTTCATCATTTCTCTTTTCTGTGGTTTTGCAATATGTGAGCTCGCTTCCATCAGTTTATCTGCTTATTATTTAGTAGTCTTTTACTGGTCTGCTCTTTTCTCTGTTTCAAAGAGGAAGGTACCTTCTGTCATCTGTGACATTATTTCCAGGAAACCTGGCACATTTTTTTTTCTTTTCCTAGCTTAACTTACTGTTCTAGGAGTGAAATGTGAGGACTTTATTCCAAAAATATTATCTTTAGTTCCATAATAAGACTAAGTGTTTGAAGAGTAAAAACATGTTCATATCTTTAAGGATGTCATAAAGTCTTGTCATTACAAATATGATTCCATATTTAGCTTATTTTGTTTAAAATATCGGATGTGTAAAGAGATGCTGATAAAGGAAAAAACGGAGTGCATTCACTGTAAACTAGATGGACAATTTTCCTTCTGTGGTAGTGCAGGAGCAGTTCACTATCGGTTTGGTGAGTTATTTGGTCACCAATTCAGTCTAATGAACTTGGTTCGCGCTTAGTTTGTTCGTATTTGCTAAAGGATGTGAAAATTATACTAGGTTGGTTGACGAGTCAAAACTGTGTTGTATATTTTATGCATTTTTGCCTTTTTTGAATGATTTGCTTGGTGTTTTAATTGTAATTGGCCTAATTTGTGGATTATTGTGGTGTTAGGTACCAAGAAGGGCCAAAATGGAGCTAATGGAACTATAGGGCTAAAAGTAGGAAACTGAGCTATTTTGAGCAATAAAAGAAGGTGGTGTGGAGAAGTGAAGGTCCGGCCGGCAGCTGGTTTTTCAGCACTACGCAGCAATACCAGCGCTCCGTGAGCTACCCAGTTGGCGCAGTGGACCTTCTCTTCTGTGCACCTTCTTCTTTTATTGATCATCTGCTCCAAATAGCTTCAAATTCCTTCTTTTATCCTCCAAATAGTTCCCTAGCTTCATATTTGCTCTTCTTGGTACCTAATGCAAAGCTGTATAAAACTATAAATGCTTAAAGGATAGAGAATAACTAACACAAAGCTGAAATCAGAGGCAAGCATCTTGATATGTTGTTAGTGGAAGACTGCTCTATGATTTAGAACTGAGCTAAACACAACAGTGCAATAACAACTTGTTGATTCTATTTACCCTCTTTTAGTTTTAGGGCAGGGACTGGAGCAATATCGGCCTTAATTGCCGTTGTGTATGGACTTATTTTCTTGGCTACAGATCAGTCTTAGTATTTTTTACTGCAAGGTAAATGGGGACAACACAACTTAATTGCCTTGTAGAAAAGAAATCACTCTTAGGTATGTTTGTTTTTGAATGTTCTCTATGTTTTGTGTTCCTTTTCTTTTAGCAGGGTTAAAAGCTGCTCAATATATGTTAATTGTTTATACGTTGAACGAATAGTTAATCTAGTTCATTTTCTTGGTGTCCTAATACTGTTGGATACTATGACCTAAGATATGTTTAATTAGCAGCAGTTGCATTAAGCTAGTTTCTGTCTGTCTGATGTTAGAAAATTAGTTTTCTAGGAACTTCCGCTCTAATTACCAGATGTACCAGTCTTTAAATACTTTTAACATGTATGAATGTAAACGTTTTTTTCTCTGATAAAAGCATAGACACTTGCTAAAAGGATTATGAATTTGTAGAGAACAAGAAACGGAGGGCGGCAACCAAAGACATAGCAAGACTCGCTTTGGAAGATCTTGCCAAGTACTTTGACCTTCCAATTGTGGAGGCTTCAAAAAGTTTGAAGGTTGGACTTACAGTACTCAAAAAGAAATGCAGAGAGTTCGGCATCCCTCGATGGCCACATAGGAAGATCAAGTCTCTAGACAGTCTCATACATGATCTCCAGGTATCCTCTTCAACTCATATATATTTGCTCCTATTTCATTGAACAAAAGTTTTTCTTTTTTTGTTTCGAAGTTCTTTATTAAATAGCTAGATGTAGAAAATTGGTAAATGTTACTTGGACGGCTTGACCAAATAATGCTCTTGTAACATTCAATGTCTCTGATCCAATGCTAGAAGAAACCATATATTTTGATCTTGTTCTGATATTGGTTCACAAGTAAGATGACTTGACAATGTTTCTTATGTTTGTTTTATTGCTTGGACGTATGTTTTTGTAGGAAGAGATGCAACGACAACAGGAGGAAGACGAGTTAGCAGCTATCGCAGTGGAAGAGAGAAAAAGAAGGATAGAATATGAAAGAGAAAGCATAGAAAAGAAGCCTTTCATGGACATACAGAAGGAAACTAAAAAGTTTAGACAAGATATCTTCAAGAGAAGATATAAAGCTAGAGTTCTTGAGAACCAATGTCGAACGTGACCACTGTTCTAGTGTATCGAACATTAGATAGTTAAAGGAGCATCGGAGAAAATGTAAGTAGACATTAGCTAGCTAGCCTTTTCACAGAGATGGCAATCCTTCCCATCATTTTCCACTTCCCTGGTGGCGCATTTTTGTTATTCTTCGACTCAGCGTCCTATTCTGAGGGTGTTTAAATGAACAGCTTGATCAAGTTATTCATAGGACAATCTGGGATTGGTTTTTCAACTGGTGGTTTTGTTGCCACAAGCTACGCTTATTGACTAACTGTTGAAGCCTTGTTTTGTTGTCAATTCAGCATAGAATTTAAACACTGTTGGCAGCAAGGAGGTTGATTGTTCTGATTTGATTGTAATTCAATTTATATAATCGTTATTTCATGGCAATTTAAATTTTCAACAACAAAATATGTTCCGTCACCTATGTATTGCATGTGTTATGAGTTACTTAGAAATAACTTGCACTGATTTTGTCTGTGGATTAAAGAAAAAGATAAATCAGATGTAATCCGAGCAAGGTTTGCTATCTTAGTTTGGTTGTTCCTTCTATTTATTTGCAACCGGAGAAGAATGGAGACTCTCATCGTTACTCCAAAAATTTGTTTTTAGCTTCAGCCTAGCCCTTTAATTAGGCTAGAAAATTTACTTTACTCTTGATCCTGTTTCGTTTTTTTCTTTAGTCATAAGGAACAGATACACAGGTTTTTGAGGTATGCAAATTAGGTAGATTTTTAGGTAAAAGAAGGATAACATACGAAGACTGTGAATTTTATATGTAATGCAGGCCTTATAATTCTGCCACACAAGGATGACGCTGATAACCAAATATAGATCCCTGGCTTTTACATTTGCTTAGCGAAAATCACAATCATCAGCTTTTGGCCATCTCAGTGCCCATTTGATGGTACAGACTTTCCTCCAACAGCATCTTTTGAGTATTTCTGTCTGATAATACATGTCTGTTTTATTCCTTTTTTCTTCAATGTTCGTCGTTCTTGTATTTTATATGTAATCTTTATTTGCACATTACTGGCTGGGGAAATATCGAGTTCTTGACCAAAAAGAAACCACATTTGAATGGCGATCTCAATTTTTTTATGGTTCTTGATGTTTGTCTATAAAAATTCTAATGCATTTCAAAACTTTGACTTTGATATGAATGCAGACTGCAGGTTCTGACACTTAAACTACAACTGTTTGAGTTTGGTTTGGGATTAGAAAATGTTGAAGACAAGTGATAGTTTAGCAAGGAGGTTGGTTGGGAGTTCAATCATTTACACGCGTAAATTTCTGTTCCGAATTTTATCTGTAGGTCCAATACCAAACCACATCGCCTTTATTCTGGATGGGAATAGGAGGTACGCTAAGAAACGGAATATAGCCGAGGCTACTGGATATAGAGCTGGTTTTTTGGCTGTCATGTGCATGCTCAAGTATTGCTACGAATTAGGTGTCAAATACATGACAATATATGCATTCAGTATCGATAATTTCAGAAGAAGACCGGAGGAAGTTCAGTACTTAATGGACTTAATGCTGGAGAAAATTGAAGGACTAATCAAGCAAGAAAGCATTGTCAATGAATATGGAGTGAGGGTACATTTTGTAGGGAACCTGAAGCTCCTTAACGAGCGAGTTAGAGTTGCAGCTGAGAAGGCAATGCTAGCCACTGTCAACAACACCAATAGCACTCTCTTAATCTGTATGGCCTACACTTCTACTGATGAGATTTTGCACGCCGTTCAATCATCCTGCCTAGAGAAATGGAAGGAGATACAAGAACTTGACGCAAACCAAGCTCAAAATGGTGAAATAACTGAAGAAAAACAGGAGCTAAAACATATCATAAAGCTGGTAGATATAGAGAGGCATACATACATGGGATTGGCACCTGATCCTGATGTTCTAATTCGAACTTCGGGTGAAACTCGTCTTAGCAATTTCCTTCTTTGGCAGACTACAAGCTGTTTACTGTATTCTCCAAAGGTATTGTTCCCTGAGATTGGTTTACGACACTTGGTATGGGCAGTCTTGAATTTCCAGCGACTGTATCCTCATTTGGAGAAGGAAAAGAAGCAGTTGTAAAATCACTGCTATTTTACCTTTATTAGTCTTTGTCCTGTTTTTCCTCAGATCAGTAGTTCACTGCTAATCATTATATCCAAATTTAATGACTCTGATATTAAGGATGATCAGTCATTATTTCGAAATTTTAACACCCCTCAAATGATAAGGTTGATGTTTAACCCAAAAACTGTTTTTTATTTTATTTTATAAAATAGCGACCGTAAAGTATAAACCAAAGACAAGTATAAAGAAAAACTGATATATTATTCAACTTTTAAACTGATGTACATAATGAACTGAAGTCTCCTCTATTTATAGAAGGAAGCTGCTACTGCAAGCTGTTACTGCAAGCTGCTGTGTAAGCTGCTTGTAACTTGCTTGTAAACTGCTTGTAAGTTGCTACTGCAAGCTGTTGTTTAAGTTGCTTGTAAGCTATTACTGTACCAGATATAGATAATCTTCTACCGGGGCTAATGTTTATCCATAACGGAGTACCGAAATGATAAGCTTCTTCAGGAGGCTTATTTTCAATAGAGTACCAAATAGATAAATATATTTACGGCGGAGTCCCATACGGATAAGCTTCTTCAGGAAACTTATTTACAACGGAGTACTAAATGAACATTCATAATATAATATATATATTTATAACACTCCCCCTTGGATGTTTATTAAAAGATATTGTGCCTCATTAAAACCTTACTAGGAAAAACCCCGTGGGAAAAAATCCTAGTGAAGGAAAAAGAGTACACACATTTAGTAATACGCATTGCTAGGTGCCTCATTAAAAACCATATAAGGAAAATCGCGTCGGAAAAAACCTTAGTAAGGAAAAAAGAGTGCATCGCGTATTTTACTCCCCCTAATGAAAATCTTGTTTCAAATATTTGAGTCTCCGCATTCCTATCTTGTTTACCATCTTCTCAAAAGTTGAAGTTGGCAAAGATTTAGTGAATAAATCTGCTGTATTGTCACTTGAACGGATTTGTTGCACATCAATGTCACCATTTTTCTGAAGATCATGTGTGTAGAATAATTTTGGTGAAATGCGCTTCGTTCTATCTCCTTTTATAAATCTTCTCTTCAATTGGGCTATGCATGCATCATTGTCTTCGTATAAAATTTTGGGTCTTTTCTCACATTTCAAATCACATTTTTCTCGAATAAAATAAATTATTGATCTCAACCATAGGCATTTGCTACTTGCTTCATGAGTAGCTATTATCTCAGCATGATTTGAAGAAGTAGCAACAATAGATTGCTTTGTGAAGTGCCATGATATGATAGTACCTCCATATGTAAATACGTCCCCGGTTTGAGATCGAGCTTTATGGGGATCAGCTAAATAACCTGCATCTGCATAACCAACAAGATCTGCACTATCTTTGTTAGCATTAGCAAGATACATAAGTGTATTCATTGTACTGAAATAGAGTATTTCAGGACCAAGGAGTTCCTCATCCTCTTATGGAGGTCGGAACGGATCCTTATTCACTTCAAGTGATCGAACAACCATTGGTGTACTCAATGGGTGTGCTTTGTCCATGTAAAAGCTTTTTAAGACCCTTTCTGTATAGGCAGATTGATGGATAAAGATTCTGTCTGCTAAATATTGAATTTGCAGACCAAGACAAAGTTTTGTCTTTCCGAGATCTTTCATCTCAAATTCTTTCTGAAGATATTCAATTGCCTTTTGGAGCTCTTCTGGAGTTCCAACAAGATTTATGTCATCAATATCAATAATAAGTATAACCTTCTTTCAGCAATTACTCATTGAGGTGATTATATCACATGCGTCCAGATTGATTTAAACCGTACAAAGATCTTTGTAATTTGATCGAGTACATTTCTCGAGACTTTGAATTATATGCTTCAAGCATTTTAAATCCTTCAGGGATATTCATATAGATTTAATAAAACGAGTCATATAGGTTATGACTTGCATTTAAATGGCATGACATCTTTAGGTGTCTGGACTACAGGTCCGATCCTCACAATCTTTTATAATATTGTGCACTATATTGTATCAGATATATCGTCGACGATCATTTTGTATCTGTTCCTAAGCGACATAACTTGTTGAGAATTCATCACTTTCTTTATTTTCGGGTCCCAAAACTTCTTTTGGAGTTTCATGAAATGTTATGTCGTGAGCTCTTCAAGAGCTCATTTCCTCCTTATTATGATCATTTTGTTCATTTGCTCCTATTATTTTTCAAGGATTTCTTACCTTTGGAACCGATCGGTTTACTACGCTTCTTGCGTGCAATAAACTTTATCCTTCAGGGACTTTAATTCTAATAGGAGCATTTGCAGCTGAAATATGATATTTTAAATTTGGATCAGCAAATGCTTCTGGCATTTGACTTGAATTATCTTCTAAGTGAGGATCATATTAATGATAATTCAATTCATATAACATATTTTTCAGCTATTTATTTCATTTCCCAAATGTTAGAATAACTAACATATATCCCGAATCTTCTTTGGGAAACCTATCTTTGTGCATTGTGGTAGAGAAATTAATCATATACCACACATCAAAAGTTATTGGATAGTAAAAATATTTGGTTTCTGATCCTAAACCAATTGTGAGGGGAGGACTTATCATATATTGTTGGTCTGATGCATACAAGTGTTGTTGTATACAATTTAGAAAATCTTAGACCAACACATGAAGCTTTGTTCTCATAAGCAATAATTTAACCATTAATAGGAGGTATTCAATGCTAAATCAGCTTGGATATAAACCAACATTATCAAGATGAACTGTCTTGATTTCATAATCTGAAAATTATGCTCTTAGTTGAGAAAAACAATTTCAAATGCCAAACTGCAGGTTGACAATGAACACACATGTAACCATCTCATATATGCATCTATAAGTGGTTCACATGATAGGTGAATGAGCCCATATTCACCTTTTATATATTTTAGAATTCAGGGGTCTTAGTCCCAACTTTAGCCGGTATAACCAATTTATTATGAGAACAAGCAGCACAAGAGAATTCTTGAAGAATCTTCTGGTTCTTCAGTATATGCTTATCAGAATTCTCAAATAGCTCATTTAAAAATGGCAAATGAAAACTTCATTATCATGGCATGTGCGTTTACTATGGCATAAACTTTTGCATTAATAAAATTTCAATTTACTGTGGCTACTTTCGTATCAGTAAATTTCTGGTTTATTGTAGCTGCTTTTGCCTCAGTAAAATTTCTGATTTACTGTGACTGCTTTTGCATTAGTAAACTTCAGATTTAGTGTAATACATGATGTAGTACAAATTGAAGAATAAGGTGGGTAACTTCTCACAT